CCAATCTGCCATTTTCGGCTCCAACACCTTTTCTGGGACACCCTGTATAAGATAATGACTTCAAGATATTTAAAATGTAATTATAAAGAACCACAATTATTTAAAATTTGTACTGATGTGTAACCAGTACTAATTTGAATGTGTAATGCCATATTCATATGTACAGGGTGTCCCAAAATGTGTATACATACTTTAATCCTTTGCTTCCCTCGATTTATTATCTATGACAAATTTGTATTATCATTTCTAGCATGACACGAATGCAAAGGGTTAAATAATCATAAAGTCGGGATGTATTATTGAAATTCCATTTTCAAGCGGTAATAGACAGTATTCAATATGTGTGCATAGATTTCTTCTGGACACCGTCTATGTATAAATATCCCAACATTCAAAACTTTATTTTAATAATGCTAGCAATACATTCTTGTCGAGGCAACACATACCAGCAGATCGCGAGAATGTACGACACGATCAGAGACGAGGCAAGCAGGCAGCACTCGCCTCAGTAAGTCTCACCAAGACATTTGACCTAACGTCTCGACGAGAGTGTATTGCTGACATTATTTTATAAACAACTTTTAACATATAATTGACGTCATAGTAAATGCATACGTATGCATTGCGGCATTCTTACTCCGTCCCCTGGTACCGAAAGCGATGGATTTAATAATGCCGTTGAACGAATCGCGACATCGGATGGAAATGTATCCTGCTTACTACTTTACCGACAATCCTGACAAGTATTATTATGGAATCATCATATTCACGACAATGTGTACGATAACCGCCATGAGCGTCTTTGTCGCGTCGGATACGCTATTAATCTACTCGGTGCAACATGTTTGTGGACTTCTCGCGCTCACTGGGTAAGCTTCACATTTAGTCAATAAGTCCAAAAATTTTTTACTCGTTTTAGCGTATTGATATAATCCCTGTAGTATCGATATGTATTTATAAATACACTGAATAATAGAACCACATACCAATAATAACAGACACTTAATGAATTTTATTATGTGAATAGAGCGAATTGTAGAAAAGAACATTGATATTAACATTGTTGAAAGTTGGAATCATTACGTAGTACGCTGTTATTTTAACATTGGTAGTGATGATTGCAGATCTCGTTTCAAGTACAGTTTGGACAGCTTATATTCGTTAACAGATGATACGAATGTCGACAACGAGAGGTTGTACAAAAATGTATGCGACGCCATTAATTCTCATAAACGAGCTTTTGCGTTAGTATCACAGTATTGAACAGAGCATGAGGTCGCTTTCGAACTTCGTTCATAGATTAGACACTCGTCTCACGCTTGCCTGCACTTGTACAAATTTCTTCAAGTTCAACTCAAACTTGAGAGTGATGGAATACTTCCCAAAATTTCAATCAATCATTTAAGTTTAATCATTTAATGTCATACAAAGTATACTTATAAATAGACAGCATACTTTTATCTAATATTAGATATTTAGACTTTGTTTTTAAGAAATGAAAGCTAAATGTCGTTTTTTAATTCATATACATATATTATTTCTTTGATTTTTGCATACGATACGTTCAAATTGCAGTATAAATCTCTTATAAAACTGTAAATATCCACTTGTTGTTCGTAAAGAATTTATTCAGGTGACATGACGTGTTTTGAGATTTATTATTTCAAACTTGACTATTTTGCCCTGCTTTGATGACTAATTGACGCATCAGTAAATTGTTATAAACAACTTTAAATGAACTAGATATATCACTGAAATCGAGAGCGCATATGCCATAAACCTCTTCGTACAAGTCGGCGTAGTAATTATATCTTTCACCATAACGTTGTTCCAGGTAAGAAAACTCAGTCAATCAAATTTACACTTTTGTTGGTTTCGGGTGTGAATATGTACTATTGTGTTTTCTGACCTCTGACAATGTTAGCTGCAATGCTGGCGAAACTTAGAAATAATCTTAGACCATAAGTGTACGGAGTGTTCCGCCACTGAAAAAATTTTAAGGATTGATTCTCGAACCCGAAATATGGTAAAAATTAAGAATAAGAAAATTGTGTCGGAGGTTTTATTTTTAACTTACAAGCGATCAAAAATTAATCGTGTCGGCATTTGTTCTCAGATAGTACATGTATCTAACAATCTAAATACTAATACAGGGTATCCCAGAACTAATACTACGCTCGAAAATGGGGAGGAGCTGAGGTGATTTTAAATAATATTTTCCTTTGCAAAAAAGTTGTCCGTGGCGTGGTTGTCGAGTTATTAACAAAAAATCGGGACCAATCAGAGTGCTCGTATAGCGGACGCACAGAAGAATGATAACTGTCTTCGACACTGCCGCGCCCGTATGCCACGCTCGTGACGAGAACATAAGATTAAAACAAAACTTAAGTGCTAGTGTCCCCGGACTAGTGGTACATATTTTAATGGGAGGTTGATGAAGTGATTTTAAACAACTTTTTCTGTTAACACTCCCACGAGTATTAGCGAATGAATAGTCAAGCACAAATGATTGTCAAATTCGTTTATTACCTCCTCTGTTCGGACAGCTGGTAGCGCCGCGTTTGAGACTGCAACAACTGCGCTGAACAACTGTGATTGAATCGTTTCCAGAGAACTGTCTCGAACAACTGAAGCGAACTGTACTGTTTGGTTGAAACTGTGTCAACAAAACTCTCCATAGAACTGTGCCGTTGCACTGATGAACTCTGTCCTCTCCAAAAACGCGCCCGCTATTTATTTGGATCCTAAGACCCGCCTTCTCCCACGCTATCGATCGACGTCGTCGATCGCCGAGAACCGCGTTCTCTCTTTCTGTAATCAACCCCGAGGAAAATGTCCAATCTCTCGGTCGATAACCGCCCTTTCCTCGGACTCCCACGCCCCGGCGGAGTCCGCACCAATCTCCTTCCTTATAGCATCCCCAGACACTTAAGCCCTAAACATCGCGCGGTCCGCAGCCCGAACTGGACCCTCCAGGCCTCGTCCGACCGCGGGCGCCAACGCTGTCAGCAGCCATGTGTTTATACTCAGTCCTCGAACCCGAGCCGATGCTATTCTCTTTCTAGGAGGAGGCAATAAATTGACTGCGATAAGCTCGACAACTATCGAGTCCAAGCTTGTCCTAATAATCTAAACAGTACTCCCACAATCCAACGCTCGCTACGCAGCCGTATCCGTTAACAAATTTAATACTAACAAATACGCGGTTCCTCTAAACAGTGCTGTCCACAGCCATCTGTTTTTACTCACGCTTCGAACCCGAGCCCAAAACGCTTTCTCCCAAAAAAGGACAATAAATTGGCTCCAAACACTTGGACTGGTCGAGCCCTAGTCGACATACAAAGTCCTTCCTGTTCCCGTGCGTCCAAGCACTTCAAGCGTTCGTCGCGCCGTTCAGTCTTACAATAATTTATTTTTTCCAAATGTCGCGTTCGTTGTTCTCGCATTCACCCAGGCAAGCCTGTGACGCAGGAAAAACTCAATGTATTTTCTCACGCTGAGAAAACCATACACCAAGAACAACGATTCCCAACTTTCGAGAAGCTACTTAAACCTAATATATACACGCGACGCGTCGCCATTGACTAGTTACATACAAAGTACGAAACGCGACCTAATTCATGTTTCCCATACTAATCTGGTCGAGCCGCGAGCGCGACAGACGAGTCACTACCATAGAGTGTGTTACGCCGAAAACGAGTTTGTTCCTTTTTTATTCGTTGCGAGAGAGTTCCGTAGAGACTCAGTCGGGATGGTGGATAAAGAAGTAGTCTTCTTGAAGGTTCTAACTGCTCTAACGTTTATTTGTTTTCAGGGTGTATCTTTTATACAATTTTTGGGTGCCAGAGGCGCACCAATAGGGTAAAAGTTAACGAAGGAGGGGTTGGTTATTGGTGGCCGCTTTTCCGAAAGTGTTTTTTCCTACCTGCGTTCAAGGTCGTAACTTAGGTGCCGAACGGGTGTCGACTTGCCGTCGCCAGATGGTTATCGGGTTTCGGGTCATACTTTATTGCATCCGTTACACACCCCTCTTCTTAGAGTCGACTTGGTCCTTCAAATCGAACGAGTTATTTAAATTTTAATGGTCTGGTGGGCTGGATTTCTCGTACAAGGGGTAGTTCGACTAGCCTGGACAATAGTTCCACGCTGTGCTCCGGGAGTTCTGGGGCTGTTGGCGGCTCTGCTATTCTCCTGCTCTTCCTGACGGAGGGTGGTCTTCTGGCAAAAGAGGTTAATGCAGATACTGCTCGGTATGCATTTGCAGATCCCGATCTTCTTTAGCACTCAGAGGCCTACCAGAAGGATGGAGGCATACCCGATGTATTGTAAGGCTGACGTGGCATTCTCCTTCCAGGTTTTGATACGCCTGATTGTTGCTATGCGTTTCAGGCGTGTATCCATGTTATTCAATTGAGTATTATAATCTTGTATGGCTTTATGGTCGATTCTTAAGGATAATTCGGGAATAACATTTTTAAAATCGTTGAAATCGTATGTAAAGTCAACATCTTCAATCCTCTTGTATATTGATTCGAAAGTTAGATTTCTAGATGCTCCGTTAGTTCGGAAAAGTGCTTTCGACGTCAGAAAAACGCAACTGTCCGCTCCTAAGACGAGAGTGGGTTCTGTGAATTTTAATCGTATTGATTTCTTTACATACGACTTGTACATCGAGAGGTTCTTCCGGAATTACTATATGTATATCGATTGCTAGCGGAGAGATGTACAAAAGTTATTTCGTCGATGTTAACCGGTTTTATAATACATTTGTTCGGGGGTTCGCCCGTTTTTATCATTAGCTGTATTTCGCAATTTGGTTTTGAGAATATATTATGCATTGATAGCGGTTGCCTGCAAATCAGTTCGTTGTGGATTTTTTTGCATTGCTTATCTATATACTCCGAATCTATGGCTATATAATTGGTCGTGTCCCTAATATAATAGTAGTGAGGAATGATAATGATGGTGTGCCCTTTAGTTAGCTCATTGTAACGCGGTATGGGGTATAACCGAATTAATTTCCAGGTTTTCTCGATTAAGATAGGGGTTTTTATGTAATATATAAGTTTCCCGTTCTGTACGACAATTTTCGTGGTACTAATACTAATGAGAGTTTGAAAGTTTTCTTCCGTTAACGCAATAGGGGACCTCTTTAGTCCTTTCCTCTCTAGTTCATGCAAATTTTGAATGAATTCGCTGGGTTTTAGCAAGTGCGAGTGGATTATACCGCTTTTGCCGATGTGTATAGCTGTCGTCAAGGTTTCGAGATCTATCTCTAATTTATTGATTAGGGTACTTATTGATAGAAATTTGTTCTGTAGTGCTATCCTCTTGTTAGTTTGATTGTATAATTCGAGAGTTTCCTCTCGCACGTGCTGTAGCATTTCTAGATTTGAGTTTCATATTACGGTTCTGATAATTTTAGTTTGATTCGCGATTATCTGGCTCATATCGTTTTGGTTTTTGAATAGGGTGTCCATGTTTTCGTTTATTAATTTTAAATCGTCGTCATCTAAAGTTCCGAATAACGATTTCGAGATACTACCGATTACATTAATCAATTCGCGCTCTTTCCTGTTCCTAATCCCTAATAATACTCATAAGTTATCCTTAGATTGTTTTACGGTTAGCAGTCGCTTACGGAGGACGGAGATCTCGAAATTTTGGCTGGTACTGTTACCGAAATATCTATTTATATCATCCAACAGTTGGGCGATATAATCGTATTGTTTTTCTACGAAGTCGGTGTTAATACCAACGAGTAATGTCCACTCCTGGCTAAATATTTGCACGCCTTTTCTATTTCTATAAGCATGTCCAGTTGTCCCAAGCTAGAGCTATTAAACGCTAGGCCCGGGCGCAGGATCATGATTATCAATGGTATGATTTTCATCTGGAAAAGGAAATATACAGGGTTTCAATCTATTTCCGCGTACCTTCGCGATATGAATATCGTGCAAATTTATGGTATAAGTAGGAGGGGAGGTATTTAGGATAGGGTATGGTCCAAGCCACTCGGGCTCCAATTTATTCTTCCTAACGTTATCATTGTGTAAGAATACGTGGTCTCCTATGTTGAATATGGGCTGCGTAAGGATGATATTTTAGTTAGTTCGATGCTGCGTCCTTTTTTTCGTCCTTTCCAGATTACTTCGGGCTCTGTTGATGCACGCGTTGTGTCGTTGTTTCCAGCGTCTGAATAATTCGTCCTGGGATAGTAGTGGTGTATTCGCTATTGTCGATGGGAGATTCGCTTTATGACCGAAAGTCAATTCGAAGAGCGTGTACCCGGTCGATTCATGTACCGCGGTATTAAAACCCATGCAAACGACCTGTAAGTTGTCGTCCCATTCGTTTTTCTTATCGCGCATACAAGTTCGAATCAGGTTCAATATTGTGCCATGCGTTCTCTCTAAGCTCCCATTAGATTGGGAGTGAAACGCAGTCGTTCTTACGTGTTTTATTTGGAATTGGGATTCAAACTTCTGCATTAATTTGCTAACGAAGTTTGAACCCTGATCGGTAAGTACGTGTTTCGGTGCAGAGAATACATATATGTAATGGCGCAAAAGTTCGTCTATGATTGTTGACGAGCTGATCTCCTTTAACGGGATCAGTAACAAGTACTTGGTCAATACGTCTTGGATGGAGAGAATGTATTTATTGCCTCTATTGGTAGGAGTTAGTGGTCCGAGTATGTCCATCGCAATTTTGTCGTTAGGTTCATGCGGCGTGTCGGGGATGACCGTGGGTTCTATGCCTCGAATTCTAATCAATTTTTCCCTCTGACACGATTCACAGCTTTTTACAAAATCTATTATATCCTTTTCCATGTTGATCCAAATAGCCCTTTCCTGCACTCTTTTCAGCGTTTTTGTTTCTCCGAAATGTTGTGCGGCATTGCTATTGTGACTTTCTTTTATTAATTCTAGACGTTCTTCCCGACTCAATTCTGTTTGACTTTCCGAAAATACAAGTTCGATTTGATCCGAATATCGGTACCCCAAGTAGCTAAGGATCTGGCGCAGTTCCAGAAGTTCCGTTAATCTCATGGGTTCCGGTAGGTACAATTTTAACACTGAGCGACGTTGTTCTATTGTGGTTTGAATGATTTTATCTAATCTTAACAACCATTTCGTCGGGTCGTATGGTCCTAGCATGTCTCTGTGCAAGGGTTTCCAAACCTTGCCAACGGGATTAGGTCGAGTCGGTAAAATATAAGTGGGATCGGGATTCTGTTTCCAATTTTCGTATTCTGTCGCGAGTAAGGTATGTTCTAGTTCGTCTATGTTAAAGTCTGCATTTGGATTCGTCTCTACGTCAGTTTCGGGTTCGTCTCCGGGGAGTAATGGGTACATGCGGGATAGACCGTCTGCTGCTATATTTTCCTTACCCTTGGTGTAATCAATTTCGTAATCGTATTCCTCCATCCGTAATCGCCAACGCAATAATCTGGATGAGGGATCCTTTACGTTGAATAACCATTTCAAGGCTTGGTGGTCGGTCAGAATTTTGAATTTCTTTCCTAGCAGGTATTGTCGTAAGCGCTTTACAGCCCATACGATGGCTAACAATTCTTTCTCGGTGGTAGTGTAATTAGTTTCGGCTTTGTTTAGTGTCCTACTAATATAGCAACAGGGGTGTCCTTCTTGGGATAGGATTGCTCCGAGCCCAGAGTTGGAGGCGTCTGTTATTAGCGTGAAAGGTTTATTAAAATCGGGATATTTGAGGATAGGGGATTCGCAAAGTTTTTCCTTTAGTATATCGAAGGATTTTTGTTGTGCGTCCGACCAGTGAAACGGGGTGTCCTTTCCCGTGAGATCCGTCAGGGGTTTGGCGATTTTCGCGAAATTTCTAATGAACTTTCGATAGTACCCGGCAATTCCTAGGAAGGACCGTACGTTCTTTTCGGATTTTGGAATAGGGAATTCTTTAACGGCTTTTATCTTATCGGGGTTTGGTTTTACTCCGTCTGCTGTTACGACATGTCCTAAATATTCTAATTCGGGCTTGAGGAATTTGCATTTATCGGGTTGGAGTTTGAGTCCTAGGTCTCTAAGTCGTTGAAACACGGTGGCTAGATTTCGATTATGTTCTTCTAAGGTGGTGCCGAATATGACTATATCGTCTAGATACAAGAAACAAATTTTTCCGATGAGTCCTCGCAAAGCACTGTCCATCATGCGTTGGAAGGTAGCTGGGGCGTTTCTTAAGCCAAATGGCATTCTACGGTATTAAAAATGTCCCTGTGGTGTACTGAACGCGGTGTATTTCTTCGACCCTTCGTCCATGGCTATCTGATGAAAGCCACAACTCAGATCTAAGGCGGAAAAGAATTTAGATTTTCCTAAGTGATCTAGAATTTCCTCTATCGCCGGTAGAGGGTAAGCATCTTGGTCTCCTGGTCTCCTTGATCTCTGTTTCCTGGTTTAATCGTCTGAAATCTATTACTAATCTCCGTTTCCGTTTCCCTGTTTCGTCTAGTTTCTTTGGTACTATCCATATCGGGGAGTTATAGGGTGAGTCGGATTCTTCTATGATCCTTTGACTCAACATTTGTTTAATTTGTCTGTCGATTTCGTCTTTACGTACTTCGGGAGGTCGGTATGATTTTACATTAATCAGTTTCTGGGTTTTAAGCTCGATTACGTGTTTAGTTAGATTTTTGCAAGGTAAGGGTTCGTTTTCGTACGAGAATATATCGCTGTACGAGATTATTATTTTTTCTAAACCCGGTTTTAGGGCTGGGTCCATATGCTGTAAATTTATCTTGTTTCTTAAAATTTCGATTCGTTTTGGTAACGCGAGGTTTAAACTATTAACTGGGTACGTGAGTAGCTCGTCGGTGGGGTTGCAAAGGTGGAC